GACCTTCATCCGCAAATCGCCGATCGGGAATCCAACCATCGCGCAGCTTCCTTCATGGCCGATCAATTCGCCGGTTCTTGCCCTAATTCCCCCATTCGCCCTAATTAAATTCCGGCTGTACGATTCTTCCCGTACAGCCGGATGTACTGTATAATTTGCGAATTAAAATAAGATTTAATCTAGGGTGGTCTAATTTATTCTGAATGTAGTTATATCATGTTAAGTACATATGATTCAAACTTTGATAAATTAACAATTCAGGATATTAATCTTTAGATATATTCAGAATTATTGAGGGTGCTTTAGTCGATTTCAGAGACGGTTGATGTAGAGGTTTCAAAACATAGTATGGTTTCAATACAATATCTTAACAAAAATATGTTAAATCCATATGATCCAAACTTTGGTGAATTGACACATATGACAATGTAAGACTTTTTAGATATATTTGGAACTATTGAGGGTGCTTTGGAAATTGTTTTTGATCTTTCAATAAAAAATAATAAATACTCCCTCCGTCCCGCTATATTCGTCCACTTTTGACTTTTGGAACTGTTCATCTAAACACTTTGACTCATCAAATTCTCTCAATGTGTAAGCCTAAATATAGTTATGTGTGATCTTGTTTGATTTGTCTTAACATATAGATTATTAATATATAATTTCTATAATTTTTTAATATACAAATTACAAGATAAAATGGATTAAAGAAGTGCATTGGATGGTGTGCAAAAATGAAAGTGGACAAATACTCTGGGACGGAGGTAGTAGTAAGAATAAATTGAAGAGAAGATGGTCTTACTATCACTTAGAAAAGCTCTGAAACTCAATAAAAACAATAGAAGAAGTACAGAAGCATGACGGTGTAGTAGCAAGGAAGTTATTTCATTTTATTAAATGAAGTATCTAGTGGCAAAGAAGCATACATTTTTATTTGTTTGTTTAAAATAATTCTTACGTAAAAAGAATTAAATAATTATATACACATAAAAAAATAATGGTGATGTGAGAAAAAATCTATAATATCTTTGGAAAAATAGGTCAAATGCAGATTAGTTTTGTACTTCATCCGATTCTAAAAATCTTTCATATTTTGACTTTTTTTGGTCAAATAATAGTAAAATTCTTTGACAATAAATTAAACACAATATAAATAAATAAATTAAAAAAAATTTGATATAGCAAAACTATTTTTTAAAATGATCGCAATTATATTGAATTTATATTATAATTAAATATATGAACGAACCTCACCCAAGGCAGCCTTATCTTGGACAAAATGAATATCTACCTCCACATGTTTGGTTCTTTGATGTTGAAGAAGATTAGAGGAAAGGTACACTACACTTACATTATGAGAGAAGACTAAAGTAGCACGACGTAATGGTTGTTGAAGTTCTAGCAACAGATTTCTTAGCTTATCCAACTACTCCCTCCGTCCCCAATTTGATTACAAATTGCGGGTTACGGAGTAAAATTTCTCACTTTTTAAAATCATTTTATTTACAAATTGATATATCAATAAGATATAAAAATTACATATTAAAAAATTACGTCAAAAGTTCTACAAAACAAGAGGTGACAAGAATATTTTATTTTATAAAATACCTAATGAAATCGCGTAAACAAACAAAAATTATCGAGAAGAGAGAAAAAAAAATTGTAATCTATTTAGGGACGGAGGGAGTAGTTCCCACTACAGCTTTTCTGCCTCTACACTATAACCAGTGATAGCTTGTGGTTTGGAGGACCATGAAACAACAAGATTATCACCCAAAAATACACAATAGCCAAATGTGTGGAGGGACTAGTGTCTGGACATTCAGCGAATCAGCATAGCATCCGAATAGGCGTGCAAGGCGGTGAAGCTAGCACGGCTAGTGTTCGACAAAAAGCCTCAATGGCGAAACCGGCACAGCTGTCGAAGATATCGCTCGCCTTCCTCCGCCTCACGAGTCCAGCCTCTATCTCCATGCTATCCTCCGTCTCCGTTCACTCGAAGCCGAGAACCGTGGCGGCGCTCAAGCGTTTCTCCACAACCTCCACCCCGTACCCACTCCAATACGAGATGATCGTGTCTCGCCCGGTTGACCCCATGCGCCTCCGTGGTCGCCGCCGTAACCCACAACACCCCATCACAAATTCCAAAACCACGGATTCTCCCGACCCCGATTCGGAACATGGATTCGATAATTGGGTCGAAAGGAAATTGGCTTCAAATTCTTCTTCTTCTTCTTCATCAAGGAGTGAGATGGGAATGGATAAGGCTAAAAGGAAGTATTACAACAAGAGGAGGAAAAGGATGTTCGGGTCGGACTCGGAAGACGAGGGTGATCGCAGGGATGGTAGTGAATTTGTGGAGCTGAAGCAGGAAGTTGTTGAGATGCGTACATTGCACAAGAAAGAGGAGGAGTTGTATTTCTATGATGCATTTACTTATCCTTGGGAGAAGGACAAGCATTATAAGATGGTTTATCAATTGGAGAAGAAGTTTTTTCCTGATCAGTGTTTCGATAAGGCTTTTCTTGAGCCAGGTCAGTCCAATGAGAAGATTACTACAAGGAAGGGGAAAATGAGAGCCGGAGAGACAGAAGATGGTAAAGGGGAAAGTGTGGGTAGCCAAGAAGACAAAGGATTGGTGTTTTTTGAGACTGATGAAGTGGGAAATGAAAACACAGAGGGTGTCTGTAAGAAGGGTGTGAAAGTGGATGTTTCAGAGAAGAAAGTTGAGGAGTTCTTTAAGTGCTTGAAGAAAGTCCCGAATCACCCAGACACCGGGGTTTCCGGGGTTTCTAGTGCAGAGCCCTTCCTTTCTTCAAGGAGTAGAGGGCTTCCTCCAAAGTGGGATAGCCCTGCTGGGACTGTTGTTTTAGTGAACAAGCCAAAAGGTAGGATTCTTTGTGTACTTATTAGTATATCTGTTCTGCCAACTGTTGTCAAATCATATCCCACGTTTGAAAACTCCAAGGAGGTCATGTATATTATTGTTACTATTTACTATAGTTAATATTATCTTATGATTAGTATTATTGTGCATAAGTAATTATGCAGAGAGAAGTCTTGATGTGAATATGTGATCTGATTGACTGTGTCCACGTGTAGTGAAACTCTCTTGTGTTTCGCTAGGTAGTTGCGCGCTGAATTCTTTGTGTAGTATTTATAGTGTATTAAACCTCCAATGTCATTGCCAATAAAAGCAATTTATTTTCATAAAGGTTTTATTTGATGTAGGAGTAAAGAATATAATGTTGTGACTTTTGTGAATTCCTCTAAAATGTTTTCTGATTCCTGCTCTCTTATATCACCACAGGTTGGACTTCATTTACGGTTTGTGGAAAGTTGCGCCGCCTAACCAAAGTGAAAAAGGTTCTCTGCCATATCTTCTTCATTCACTACTAACGCGAAAGTAGCTTGACTCTAGTAATTGGCCCTTTCTTCTCCATTCGCTACTAAATATACCTCTTGCAGGTAGGACATGCCGGGACCCTTGATCCTATGGCAACTGGTTTATTGATTGTATGCATTGGTAAAGCTACAAAGCTGGTTGATAGGTCAGTTAACATTTTTTTGCACCCCTTTCATACTTTGAGAGATCGGATGAAAGTTTTCAATCTAGACCATCATGCACATCATTTCCCAGTGCCCTTTTTTTCACCATATATGATTTCTACCCCCTCTGTCCCTCAAAAAAAATTCAGTTACTACTATTCACAAGGATCAAACTTTATCATCTTTATTTGCCTATTTTTGTTAGTCATTTGATTAAAAGTATAGTCATGTCACCTCTTCTTGTTTTGTTGTACTTTTGACGTGCATTTTAAATAGGTAAATTTTGTTATTTAATCCTATACCAATTATTAAATTATCGATTATATTAATGAAAATTAGTTTTAGTTGGGAATCTTTAATCATTATTAAATTTTTTTTTTAAGGACAGAGGGGTATAATATAAATATATTTGCTAATCATTTCCTCTCTATTGGTGAATTTGTAAACTAAATTCCATTCGGTAGAAATCTTTCTTGGCAGATACCAGGGTATGATCAAGGGCTACAGTGGAACTTTTCGTCTAGGAGAAGCCACCTCTACTTGGGATGCAGATTCCCCGGTGCGTTGTTAATATCTGGATATCTTCACAATAGTAATTATCTAAATGCTAGGAGAGAAACCAAACCTTGTAATCCCTATCATGTGTATGGAATTGAAATACGGGGTAGGTTATTATTACACTTTTCTTTGTTATTTTCATTGTTTTTCATGACATATTAATGGAATTCAAGACATGGATTATAAATTTTGTTTCAAGGAAATATTCTTCATATAATAGTATCTAACAAAATAAATGAGAAGAGGTGAAGAAGTCCATCGATTTCTCTCGACCATCTCTATTATCATTGTCAGATAGGCTAAACCCAAATTTTATTCTATCTCAAGGAAAGCCATTTGATGTGCTTTGCCAGATAATAAGACTTCAAGCTAGTCTAATTTATAAAACTAGTTTGGTTGCAAGGTATGAAATTTAGAGCAAAAAATCACACCGAGGTTAATACTAATAGTTCAATTATTTATATCCATAATTTAAATTGAAAGCTATCCTTATTTCTGTTAAAAGTTATCATGTACTTAAAGGACGACGGCTTTTATTAAATGTATGATAGTTAATAATCATTTAATAATTTATTTTCCGATTTGGAGAAGTTATTGTTTGGTTAATTTGTGGCTGTGTGCAATTTGCACAAAAAAAATGACAGATAATTTATGATAGTAGTAGTAATTATTAGAAGGAAAAGCCAATCCCAAATAAGAGACTATATTATCTCTTGCTAAACTATCTTATAACATATACCCAGAGTATTTAATAAAACATGTTACTTCAAAAACTAATTACCTATTCATTTCTTTATCCGTCTATGCTGTTTTGTACTATGCTGGTGGAGTGGTGGTTGTTTCTGCACTTGTCCTTGTGTGCTTCCTTGCATGGTACTTTTTGCTTCTTTGCGCCTTTCATTGATTGTGTTTTTCTCTCTTTATCCTAAACTTGCTACGTAATTGTGTGCTTTTTGTGCATTATGTGTTTCTTGAGCTGGGGGTCTCTCTTGGAAACAACCTTTCTACTCCCTGGTAGGGGTAAGGTCTGCGTACATATACCCTCCCTAGACCCTACTTTCGTGGGATTCTACTGGGTTGTTGTTGTTGTTATGTACTATGGCCAAAATGAAAGTACTATTAATTGGTAAATATCCTCATTATCATGTTACATGCCATGTTCTTGGTTCATACAATCTATAAAGTTAAATAAAATTTGTATTATATAGGTTATTCAACGTGAGCCATGGGAGCACATCAAGAACGAGGATCTAAGGAAGGCTATTGCATCCCTTTCTGGGGAGATATGGCAAGTCCCTCCTATGTTTTCAGCCATCAAAGTAAGTTCAACAGTCATCCTTTTGGCCACAGTGCAAGTCGAATTCAGATGTTTAAATATTATCTATATTGACACACTATTACAGTATTACTCCCTCTAATTTTACTTGTATTGTCTTAAGTTCATTTTTCTAGCCTTTTATAAAATTCATTTTTCATTGTCTTTTAATCTTTGTTTAAACATTATAAGACAATATATTCATTTTAGATGGGTACGAATTGCTCCATATTCATGAGGGCGTTTTAATTAAGGCAATGAGATTAATTGAACGAGACAAGATAAATTGGAGTGTTGGAAGTTCCCAGAATAGATAATATCCAAACTCTTTTATCAAAAATATTCTTCAGTATTCATTTTTAAGAACCTAAACTTTTTGCATGTATAGAAAGCAGTGCACAAGTTATGATTCGTTTCACTTTTTCACAATTCCTATTGCTGCAAATCTTTTTGGATGGTTAAGGAACAATTCTTATAGCTATGATTGCTTCCAATTTCTTGGACATGTGATAGGTTGGTGGTGAAAGGATGTATGATAAAGCAAGAAGGGGCGAAAGCATCGAACTTTCCCCAAGGAGGGTATCGATATTCCAGTTTGACATTGAGCGGAGTTTAGAGGACAGGTTTGTCAATGGACTTTTTTTTTTGGCAAAATTGCACCTCCCCCCCTCAAAAAAAAGGATATCTAGATGTGAATAAGTTTACCTCACACATATAAATTTTGGGTGCGAACCTAGTAGACAACCAATGCAGGATGCTCAAACATTTAAAGGGGCGGGAAAATTTAGTCCAAATTGCCCTCATACGGGGGGCTGTCTTAACCCATGGGATGAGTAGGCATTTCACATACCACCATGAGACAATGTTTTGGTACAATTCTAGATCTGGCCTCACTACATTGAAAGAATTCTCAAGAAGATCGGTTTGTGGCACCATTGTATTAGTTGTATATACTAGACTACTAGACTCTACACAGTCGAGTAATGTGGAATTCTCTGACACACCATTCGAAAGTAGAGTCACTGCCAAGAGTCTGGGGCACTAAAACTCTCTCTTTGTTGCACAATTCATTGACCAGATGCGTCTTCTTTGAAATATATTCTGCATGCAATATTTGAAACTGTGTGCTTGCTTTGCTTTGCAGACAAAATGTGATTTTTCGGGTAGTATGTTCAAAAGGGACATATATTCGGTCACTTTGTGCGGATTTTGGGAAGGCTCTGGGCAGGTATCATACACTGTATAAATGACCTTGTTTTGTTAAACCAACATCATATAAATACAGAGTATAAATATACACACAACATGCCAAGGTTTTGTGTCATTCCTTCTATAAATCAACCCTTTAGGATGGAATTTCATGTTTCCAATATCTCTTTAAGGTTCACAACAAGTTCAGCATGTGAATCATAGAGCTAATGAGAAAGACCATAAAGAAAGTTTGAGCTGCTTTTGTATTGCATGTTTTGGAATTGTGATATGATCTGATACTTTCTTGCAGTTGTGCTCACTTGTCAGCTTTACGGAGAGATTCAATTGGTAAGGTTCTTGAGTCCTTGTGTTTCACATTTCACTCATGCATGCTTTCTGAAATTCAAGAAACGACCCGTCCTATCCCCTTAGGGGAGGGGACCCCACACGCGATATATAATGGGTAAACCCATCAATTGAAATCGTGCTTGTTCTGAGGCTAGTTGTGCGGTGGTTTCCCCTCATTGTAGGAGAATACAAAGCCGATGATGCTTGGGATTTTCAAGAATTGGAAGAAGCGATAACTAAAGGATACATGTAGACTAATCTATTCAGTTTCCCAAGGAACTCTTTTACTATAGGAGCCTAGAAGGGGACCAAGGTGCAAGTGGAGAAGACCCGAATTTTTTTAGCCTAAATATCGTTACGAAGTAGAGTAGCCGCTTTCTTTCTTCATTTTTTCCATTCAAGGGTGTCCCTTGGCCTTGTTCTTGGAGTAAAATCCAATAATTTACCATGGTATTCTTTTATTTATTTACTGTATTTACTTGTAATTGATTTTTTTACTGCAAGAAATAATGTTGTGATTTACGGAGTAATTTAATGCCAAAATCCCAAAGAGCTTTTAAAAAAAGCTTATTAGGTGGAGAATGTGTCTTCACAAAACACATGACTAGTTATGACTAGCTATGTCAAAATGCCCTTTTGTCCCACAAATTTTTTGAGGTGAAAAAACTTTCAGCTAAACCCCCTCTTCATCTTTATTACTCCCTCTTTCGCAAAAATCTTGTAAAAGAGAAAAATAATGTAGCTCATAAAAGTACAAAAAAAATGAAAATTTTACAAAATAGGGCATTGACGAGACTGCACATCAAAATCAACAACAAAAAAAAACTTCACTCAAATTAAAATATAAAATCCCAAGCTGCAGAATAGTGGAGGAAGCAAATTGTAGTTTTTTTCTCAATTGCTTCTAGTTTTTTTTTAATTTCTTCTGAACTTTTTTTCAATTTCTTTCGGTTATTTTCATTTTCTTCAATCTTTTTCTATTCCCTAAAAATGACTCTAAACATGATGTGTTTATATGTATTATTATTACTCCATATTATTATTATTATTATTATTATTATTATTATTATTACTATTATTGTTGTTGTTATTATTATTATTATTATTATTATTAATGTTTGTACAAATTTCTTGTACAAGATCGTAATAATGTAGGTACAAATGTGGAATCAGTAGAACTTTATATCGTTTCTGCTTTCCAGTAACAAACCCAATCCATATATCCTTTTTCAGGTGACAATTTCAGAAGCAAGAGTTAAATAGAAGCATGAAACCAAACCACTTAAATTGGCCTGACCATTGACCAATAAAAAGTGACCACTAAATAAAAGAGTTTCATTAAAAAAATGAGCCTCACCTCCCGAGGGCCCTCTCCTCTCAAACCCGGCCGAACGGTTACTAAGAAGAATTAAAATTGACATTTATTATATTGCAGATTGGTGGCAAAGAGTGGAACCTACACTGAGTACTTTCAGAGGCCACATGCTTAACAGCTTAACATAGTTGCCTCACAACGCAGTTGTTACGAATTGAACTCGAGTCTTACTCCATTGACACTTCTTGTCTTAGCTTCGCCAACTGCACAACGCCCACCGGCGAATAAAAGAGTTTCATTGTTTGTGAGCATGAAGACGAATGGGAAGGCCTTCGACCGGGACGGGCATGGGGTCATATTCGATCTTCTCGTCACGCACGAGCAAGCTCCACCGAAACCGCGTCACCAGATGGTGCAAAAACGTGAGTATCTCGAGGCGAGCAAACTCTTTCCCCAAGCACATCCTCGGGCCTCCCCCGAACGGAACATATGTGTAAGGTGCGGGCCCGTCGTCTTCAAACCTCAATGGGTCGAAGCACGCCGGGTCTCGGAATAACCCCCCATCGAGGTGCGTGACCGGGCCATTCCAGTAGAACTTCCAGCCTTTGGGTATGATGTAGCCCTCGTAGTTTACGTCCTCGAGCGCCTCCCTGAAGGCCCCAAAGATGGGGGAGTATAGCCTCATGACTTCGGAGACGACGTGCCACGAGTACCTCATCTTCTGTATGTCATCCCAATCCAGAACCGCCCCTTCCTCTTTCGACGCCGCGATTTCTCTCTGCTCTCGAAAAACCTCCTCGTAAACGTTCGGTAGCTCTCCGAGTTTCTTGATGAGGAGAGTGATAGCGACGCTGGACGTGTCGTGGCCTGCGAACAAAAGTAGGAGTATGTTGTTCGCGATGTGGAGTTCGGGCATGAAGTTCCCGTCCTCGTCGGGGGTGAGAAGCAAATGGGAGAGAAGATCGCGCCCCTGGGAGGAGGGGCGCGACTTCAGAGCTTCTCTTCTCTTCTTCACAACCCCTAGAAGCTCCTCCCGAATCAAAGCGGTCGCCCGCATTGCGCGGCCGAATCGCGCCCCGGGGAGGTTAATCGGGAGCGATATGATCCCCTTGAGGAAAACATTGAAGAGGCGGGAAAGCCGGTTTATCTGGCGCGGGTCTTCGACGCTCATGAAGAGGCGACACGCGAGCTCGAACGTGTACGTTTTGGCGAGGGGGAGCACCTTCAACTCCGACTCGTCGTGCCACCGAGACCGAATGTGCTGCCGAGTGACGAAATCCGTGGTCTTGAGGTAGAGCCGCTGGAGCGCGTCCGGGCCCACAAAGTACGACACGAGCTTCCTCGTTCGTCTGGCGTCTTCGCCCGCGGAATTCGCCAAACAAACTCCGAGCAGCTTCTGCACGGAGGCCGGCCACCACGACGCCACGAGCCGGTTCTCGTTGCTGAACAAGAACTTGTTCCCGGCCGGGCCCCTCAGGACGGCGACCGGCTCTCCCATCAGGTGAGTCTTGAACACGTCCGAGCCGTACTTCTTGCACCTGTCCAACACAAACTCGTCTGGTCTCCCTCTGCGGCTTGCGCGGAGGAACTCCAACGACTCGCCTATGACCGGCCATCCGAAGCTCCCGGGGGGTCTTTTCTTCTTGGTTTGGGTGATAAAAGAGGCAAGAATAGATAGGATGAGTAGAGATGCCAATATTATGAAGATTGGAGGAGCCATATTCTCTGCAATTGGCTTTCCACTTCTTGATTTCTGCTTTATTCTGCAATCAAAAATTTCACCAACCAATTTTGATAGCATACTCCAACAGGTAGAAAAAAAACATCCAGAAATAAGATTGGCCTATAGCAAAATTGAGATGATTGAATAAGAGAGATTATTAAAGATACCTCCTAGTAGTAGCTATATATAAGGGCGATCAATTGGCGGCGGACAAAGCGGCTTCGCGTGGTCGCCGGGGAGTCAATCGGAGCTTGGGGCGGCGGGAGATAAGTGGCTCCGCCGCTCAATTTTCGGAAATGTGAAGAGATAAGGTTTGATGGAGAGGAATTTGTCAGAGTATTAATGGCGGCAAAAATTGTCAAACCGCGTCGCAGGGCTCCCTTCACACTGGCCACCACTCATGTGTTATGGGGGGCTGGACGGAGTATAAAGAAATATATCGTGGAATGGTAAAAATATGTGTTATGAGACTTGAAAAAGGAGCGCGACAAAAAGTGATAGAATGAAGATGTGAATTATTTTAATTGATTGCAACAAAAAAAGAAGAGGAAACTAGCCTTCACCGCTGGATAGCTATTACCCACAAAGGGGCAACGCAATCCATCACAACAAATATGGCAGGGTGGAGTAGGCGGGATGGGGCTTGAGGAAGAGACACGCCACTTATGTCAAACCCCATAACAAATAGCCTAAATGCATGGCAATTATATTGTATAATAATCACACATTTGGGAGTGGGCTTGCACGGTAGATGTGAGACAAGGGTGGGAGATTTAGGAATAAGTTAGGGGTTAAAAATCATCAATTTAGCGAATAGTGGCATTGTTTCTCAATGTGAATCGAACCGCGCTTAAAAATGAAAAAATGTCAAAATGAAATTCTAATTTCTTACGGAGTAACATTTTCTAAATATAATTTTGTTTTGTTTTAATTTCCAATAATTTTATTATATGTGTTATACACATACGGAGTATATTTTAACCGCAGATATATTTTTTCAAAATAAATTTTTAGGTATAATACTCCATGTATTATAATTTATATAAATATCAATTTTTTGAACGGTAGAAAATGGGAAAAAACGACGGCCAGTTTTATATTTTTTTATAACATTAGTAATGTTTTTAAAACCTTATTGAGATATTAAACTACTGAGTAATTATGTATATTAAAAATACATAAATTTGAAATGGTGAAAATGGGAAAAAACGGAGTGCTTCTTTAATAGACCTAAATGAAAAGCGAATCCAAAATTAAATAAAATAATAAAAAAAAACATTTTAGCTGATAAAAAATCAAAAAAGCATATGACAAATGTACTAATTAAAAAAAACCATTTGAGAATATATATGTGGCACAAACCACGTGTCTTCTTTCAACAAAAAAAATTAATGTATTAAACTATGTGTATCCCAAAAATTATACCCCACTTTATAATCCGATGGCACACACTTACATTGAGTGCTAACGTAATACTAGTGTGATGGTTTACATTGACACAAAATATCAGTACAATTTTTTTTATTCAACTAACATTATATGCTAGTGTGAACTATTAAACATACACGTTAATTTTGAAATATTTAGTACTCATTCTGAAATAAGGTAGTACTCATTTTAAAAATAACGTAATACGCAATTTCACATATCTGTTTTATATCATTATAATATTAGTTTACAAATAATATATTGTTCATTCTATGCCAAAGTAGTGTTCATTCTCAAATAACGTGATGCTCATTCCCAAATAAAGTACCTCAGAAAATATAATCAAATAGTCTAAATAATCTAATTAATCCGATCCAACTTACTCTACTCATCATCTTCATCGCATAGCAGAGAACATCCGCTACTGTTCATCTATCTTTCGATCATTGCATCCCATCTTGCAGAGTTGCAGCAGCCGCCACCTTCACCTGCCATCGCGGCCTCCTCTTCTTCCCCTTCAATTGCCGGATGTCATGCTCCATGTCTCCCGCTTCTATCTCTCCTTAGATCGACCGCCGGTCTCCGCTTTGTTCCTTCCTTCAATCTAATTGCCGGTCCCACCAGTTGTACGGTATAATTTGCGAAAAGACCCTATAGTCTAAAAAGAAAAACAGAATAAAAGAAAATATCAAGTCCCAAAAGAGATAAGTCCAAAACAGTGTGGACAAACCAGTAATAAGGACTACAAAGAGAAGATGATGACCCAAATGGCTAGTTGTCCCATGACCACACCACACACCCCTTTGCAATTGTCATCATAATCTTCAAAAACATGGGAATGATTAAAGTGCATAAGATCCAATGGAAATGCCCTTAAAAAACACAATGCAGTAAGGGATTGTAATTAGCCGAAAAGCCCGAAAACCGGGAATAAGCAAACCTGTTTATCTGCCGCTCCTCTTAAAATAGTTTCCATTTGACACTTGTTGTAGCTGCAAAGCTTCGGCTATATGCTGATTTATTGTACTCCGTGAGTCTAAGGCGAAACGCATATACTGCAATGGTATTACTGTTGTTCTCAGCAGACGAAAAGCGTGCGAAAACTCTCCCAAAAATCAACTCTGGTTTGACCTTTTTAAACTATAATGTGCAGCCAACATAAACACACTGATAAATAAACAGTTTAAAGAATGCATATTTAGAAGACCTCTAGTTTTTTTAGACAACATCATATTAGGGAGAGGTTTGGTACTCTTGCCACAATAGAGAGGGTTGGTAGCAGAGATGTTAGGGAATATAAAAAAGAAAACCAATGAATCAATATGAAACCCTCAAGGCCTCAACTTAAACAACCACCAATATTTATATACGACAAATGCATGCCCTAATAAAAGCAACGTGCAAAACCAATCCGTCTCTTGAAACACAAAACAAAACGTAATTAAGTGGATATTTCTCTGTGCTTATAAGCTGGTCAAAACGGCTTATAAGCAGTTTTAAACTTATAAGTCAGTTGATGACATATTTCTCTGTGTTTAAAAAAGACTTATAAGCTGCGTATAAGTTATAAAAAATAAATGTCTCACCTACTTATTTTTAGGTCAGTCTTTTCGCTACTCTATTTTGACCAAATTATTTACAAAATTGTGCCTACATCTATGAATACTTCCAAATGACTTTCTTTTATTTAAGTTATTTTACTTCCACGAAAGAATATTTGGCTTATAAGCAGCTTATAAGTTAAAAATTGTTTATCAACAATAAGCCAATAAACACCCGCACAGAGAAACACCCCATAAATATAACATCAATGTAAAGGGCCACACCACACATCCGTTACACAAAATAGGACCTCTAGCCAACATGAACAAACTAAATGCAAGGACAACCGAGCAGACACATTAAATAAAATAGAATATTACCAAAAATGCCCAAAGACGGGTCATCCAACTGTCGGCGACACCATCATCGTCCATAGGATCCAACACCAGGCACGTCGATTAGAGAATCGTAGCATCTAACAGTGCAAAATAAAAAAGGACAACTCAGATGAATAAAAAAGGGAAGGCAACAGAATTTTAGGGAAAATAAACAAATCCAAACAAAAACACCAAGTTCTTGAGAAACAAACCGACCCTACCAAGCAGAAGCCAATCAAAATAGTTAAATCAAAGCCACATCAGCAATGAACCACATAATCCATGACTCCCAGGGGATACCCAAAAACAATACGCGTGGACCGCCACATGGCATCTCCACAATTAAAATGCTCTATTTGATACGGAGTATATATAGTTCATTCAAGAGTGATATCCTAATGGACAATTTTTTTATAATCACTCATAGTATACAGCATTACAATTGATGGAAGTTTTGTGAAGTATTTACCACCAATTCTAACACGGTGAATAATGAGTGCTAGAAGTGTAATTCTTTGGACCTTCAAACAGATACAACTGGCTATAAACAGTTGAAACCCTATATTTACTCATTGTGTACTGTGTACATCCCACTTGATTTCCCATAGAACATCTCACTCCTTACTTTTGTTGGATTTAGTGGGTGACATTCAATCCAATCCAACATTCTGCGAAAGCAATAAACACAAATCAAATCCGAATTTATATGGTGATGTGAAAGGACCAATATAAATAACCACAACTGCTCTGGATTCATAGCATGCAAAAAAAAGAGGTGTTTTCCACTGATAGAGAAAGCTCTGAGAGAAACAAATTATATCCATATATTATTCACATTTCAATAACAATCTTAAACTTCGTAAAATCATATCACAATTTTCATTAGGGACAGGGGGGTATGTTTTTCTTAAAAGGAACGAAACAAAAAATACTAGAAAGTGATGGACTTATAATCCACAGACATAAACGAATTACTCTTCACATGAATATCACTCAATATAATTGTCGAATCTAACAATATGAACACAAGGGCATTTATGTGGAAACCTTAAATGAGAGAAAATCACCAACCTTTTTCGGTGGTACCATGCCAAGGGGTGTATTATTATAGATCAGGGATGTACATGTACAATACATAAGCGTGATAACTGATAACCATGGATGGAGCTTGAAACTCTATAAAAAAGTGAACAACATATGGAGAGAGATGTGTTGTGTGTATGTGTGTTGGATAATGATGGAGGCTCTCCGTTCTCCTTGGCTCGTAGCCTCTATCAATAGTAGAGTAAGGAACCCCTAGGGTTAGGGTTTGCAAATGCTTCCTTCATGGTCTTGCTTCTTGGATTGGGTCAATATCTTTAGGAACATAAATATTATCCCATCAGAAACAATAAAAACAATTTTTTAAGGTCATTAGATTTGGCCAATTATATTTTATTACTTCCAATTTTTTTGTGCGCCAATACTCTAAGAAATTACCAAACTTCACATCGCTACTTCAACCTGACTCAGCATTGTGGCTGACATGGCATCCGAAACAATGAGTTAGCAGGCAACATGACATCCAAAACAATGAGTTAGCAACACATCTAAAACAATAAAATTACATTGAACACCATTTGTAATATTTGAATAACTTAATAAAAGTTAATACCTTTTTTGAGGACGGGTGATTTTACCATGATCAACTTTCCTAATTTCCTTTATTATGTTTTTCAAAAAAAATCAGAAGACGTACAATTTAATTTTATTAATTTAGATGTGTTACCAACTCAATATTTCAGCAGCCAAAACATTTCCACGTAACTATGTTTGAAGCCAACCGACCCAACTGGAATAGCGACGTAAAATCTGATTATTTATCGCACTTTGACGTGAGAAAGAGAATTGAGAATAATATTATTTAATTGGCTAAATCTAAAAGTGTCGGTGTGAATTTCTGCTTTAATTTGTACTATGTAAAACATTATTATTATTATTACTATTATTATTATTATTATTCACCTCAAGTTCAGAGTACAAGGCTACAAGATAATAATAGTTGAATACACAGTACTCCATATCATTTTGGCTTTCCAGTAACCAACCCAACCCACATACCCTTTTTCAGGTGAGGTGACAATTTCAGAAGCAAGAGTTGCATAGAAGCAAGAAACCATACCTCTTAAATTGAGCTATAATTATAGTCTGTCAAATAAAGCGTGAACTCTGAACAGAAGTAAGAGTTTCATTGTTTGTGAGCATGAAGACGAATGGGAAGGCCTTCGACCGGGATGGGCATAGGGTCGTATTCGATCTTCTCGTCACGAATGAGCAAACTCCACCGGAACTGCGTAACCACATTGTGCAAAAATGTGAGTATCTCGAGGCGAGCAAACTCTTTTCCCAAGCACATCCTCGGGCCTCCCCCGAACGGCACATATGTGTAAGGTGTGGGCACGTCATCTTCAAATCTTGAGGGATCGAAGCGCGTTGGGTCTCGGAAGAAGCCTCCATCCAGGTGCGTGATCGGACCATTCCAGTAGAACTTCCAGCCTTTGGGGATGACATAGCCTTCGTAGTTTACGTCCTCAAGCGCCTCCCTGAAGGTCCCGAAGATGGGGGAGTATAGCCTCATGACTTCGGAGACGACGTGCCACGAGTACTTCATCTTCTGTATGTCATCCCAATGCAGAAACTCTCCTGCCTCTTTCGACCCTGCGATTTCTCTCTGCTCTCGAAGGACCTCTTCGTAAACGTGCGGCAACTCTCCGAGTTTCTTGATCAATAGAGTGATAGTGACGCTGGATGTGTCGTGGCCCGCGAACAAAAGTAGGAGTATGTTGTTCGCGATATGGAGTTCGGACATGAAGTTCCCACCCTCGTCAGGGGTGAGAAGCAAATGGGAGAGAAGATCGCGCCCCTGGGAGGGGTGCGACTTCAGATCTTCTCTTCTCTGCTTCACAATCTCAAGAAGCTCCTCCCTTATCAAGGCGGCTGCTTGCATTGCACGCCGGAATCGCGCCCCGGGGAGGTTAATTGGGAGCGATATGATCCCCTTGAGGACAACGTTGAAGAGGTGAGAAAGCCGGTTTATCAGGTGCGGGTCTTCGATGCTCATAAACAAGCGACAAGCTAGCTCGAACGTGTACATCTTGACGAGGGGGAGCGCCTTCAATTCCGCGTTGTTGTGCCAATGAGATTGAATGTGTTGCCGAGTGACGAAATCCATGGTTTTGAGATAAAGCCGTTGGAGCGCGTCCGGGCCCATGAAGTATGACATAAGCTTCCTCATCTGTTTGGCGTCTTCGCCCACGGAAGTCACTAAACAAACTCCGAGCAACTTCTGAATGGAGGCCGGCCACCATGACGTGACGAGCTTGTTCTCATTGCTGAACAAAAACTTGTTCCCTGTGGGGCCCCTTAGGACAACCACCGGCTCACCCATCAAGTGAGTCTTGAACACGTCCGAATTGTACTTTTTCAACTTGTCTGTCACAAACTTGTCCGGTCTCCCTTCGCGGTTTCTGCGGAGGAACTCTAGTGATTCGCCAATGATCGGCCATCCGAAGCTCCCGGGAGGAAGATTCCGAGATCTTTTCTTCTTGCTTTGGATGATAAAAGAAGCAATAATAGATATGATGAATAGAGATGCCAAGATTATGAAGGTTGGAGGAGCCATATTCTCTGCAACTAGCTTTCCACTTATTTATTTTTACTTCATTCTGCATTGAAAAAATTGCACCTCCAACTCACCAACCAATTTTCATAGCATACTCTTGCACAAGGGAAATAATTTTCTGATGTCTCAAAAAAAATAGTCCGGAGTACCTAGTTACAAGTACTTTATTTCATTTTTTTAGGTACAATAGTGAAAATGTGACTCATAATTTTTTATATCATTTTTTACACCAAATGCAAAAAAGAAAATAACTGTGTGGAAGTGGCTGTGTTTGTCTTAGAGGTCATAAGTGGTGCGCCCTTACCAATTTTCATAGGATTAAGCTATTTGTACCCCAAGATTTGTACCCAAATTTGTACACCACAAATGTGCACCTTCATTTTGTGACAGTATAATGCTAGGGTGATAGTTCACACATACATAAAACAACAACAACAACAACTACAACCCAGTTAAATCCCACAAGAGTAGGGTCTGGGGAGGGTGTGTGTACGCAGACCTTGCCCCTACTCGAAAGTAGAGAGGCTGTTTCCAAAGAGACCCCCGGCTCAACGTCGAAAGCTGCATTGCTTGACTAACTGCTACTTCATTAATTAAAGAAGCGCAAATAGTTTACATATCCATTTTGATTTATTCATGCTAGGGTGATAGTTCACACATACATAAAACGTTAGTGCAAAATTTTGTTAACGCACCAGCATTTTGTGTCAGTGTGAACCATCAAAATGTGAGTGTATACGTAACTTTGGGATACACTTTTTGGTGTAAGTGTAGCATGGTTGATTTTCGTAGCATACTCTTGCTCTTGGACAAGGGACACATTTTTCTCTTTTTGAATATCTAAAAAATTGTGTGCATTTAATTACGCGTACTTTATTTCAATTTTTAGTACAATAGTGAAAATGTGGCTCAAAGAATTTTTCTCCCATCTAAACAAATTTTAACCATAAATGGAATATTTTTCAATTTCCAACATTTTTCTTAATTTTGCGAAAGTCAAAGTAGATAAAAGTTTTGGAGATGGATGGAATATACATCTTCACCCAAGTTTTTTTAATACACTCCTAGCACATGAAATTTAATTTTTTATCTAACTAGGTGACGGTGATATTCAAATTCATAACCAACCAATCAAGAAAGAGGTTTTTATATTCTAAAAAATAGGTATAGACTAATCAAATTCAATATATGCAAATATGCAACGACACTCCCTTAACATTAAAAAGGACCAAACAAGCAGCAGTTTGAAATATTTGTCTAGTTTGACTTTTAGCAGTCAATCTCAACCAACTTTAGTCATCAACAAATTAAAAAAATGCATTGCATTTCCCTTAAATGTCTGTTTGGTAAACGAAATTGACAGAATTAGAATTCAATTGGATATTGAAATTCCATGGAATTGATTTGAATGGAATTGAATTCTCCAATTCCAATTCATTTTTGGCAGTGCCAATTCCAAATCCACATATTTTTGTATTACCAAACAACAAAATTAGAACTATTATCCCCAATTTCAATTTCATAATTTGAATTCTGTGTACCAAACGAGGCCTAATTTAATTAGATACATCTTGTAAAACACTTTCAAAAAAGAATATTTTATTTTATTAATATACAATGTGGTATTTATTTGATTGATTATCAAATTTCATCCAATTTAATAGCAAAAAAATCAAACTAGACAAACGAAAAAACATCCACAAGATTGGCCTATACAAATTTGAGATAATTGAATAAGAGTAATTATTGAAGATACCTAGCTATTTATAAGGGCGAACGACTGGCGGACAGAGCGGCTTCGCGTGGCCGCCGGGGCAGTCAACCGGAGCTTGGGGCGGCGGATAGATGGCTTCGCCGCTTGGTGGCAACAACGTCAATTGTCCAAATTGTGAAGAGATAGGGTTTAATTGAGAGCAATTTGTCAGATATTAATGGCGGCAGAGAACCAACCAGTAAAAATTGTCAAACCGCTTCGCCTAACTGATATCTACCGGGCGTTCGTTACCGATCGGCTAGAGAGAAGGTGGAGAAGGTGAAGAGAAAGGGGAGAGAAATAGAGGATGTGGACTTCTTCATTAATTTCCTAATCTTAAACTTATATAGGCTACCGAGCAAACAGGACTCGCACTAACTTCCCCACTAATGCCACTAAGCCCATTACTAAGAGCATTAGCAGTGGCAAGGAGAAAATAAAATGTCACACGATGACGTGGTACATTTCCACCAATTAAAAGTAGTCCAGTCATGCAGTGGCACATGAGTTGAGTGACAAGTCTTGTAGTGGCAAGTAAGTATTTTTTTCACTTTTTTAATATATACTTCATATTAATAATAAGAAATTATTTCTTTTATACATTTTATCATAAAAAATCATTCTGCCTTTTTATATAATATCGGATATTGAAATTCATAATAATTGAAATTTAAAAATTTCAAATCCTAATTAAAGAAACAAAATATTGAAGCATCAAACAAATTAATACTCTATAACTCTCTTGTTTCCTTCATCGGTCAACAAGAGCCATCCAATAATGTCACAGCCATCCGGATGAACCACACACCTGCCAAAAACCCTAGATCGGCCCTTACTTCTCTTTATTTTAAATCTTCCCTTCAATCTCTTTCAAAAGAAGAAAAGAATACTCCAAGAATATCAATTATTGGTAAAAATAATGCCTCGCAGACGGAACGAAAGTTGGGGTGGAACGCTCCTCCATTGCCTCGCACCACGCCTCCACTTGCTGATGTGGCACGGCGTGGCATTGGTTTGACACGCTGCTGTGAATGCTCTAAGAGCACTGGTAATACCCCTCACGCCCACCGGCGTTACGGGGCGTTTAACGCCCCGGGGGCGTGAAACACCGCCCCCCGCCGGCGTGAAACGGGCGTGAGGGCGGCTGCGTCATTCCTTTGACGCGGCGTGAATCGGCGCTGCTCCCTCCTAACGGCTAAAAAAGCCGTTGCACCCCAATTTTTTTTAAAAAAAAATTCCTATAAATTCAACCCTCCCCAACCAATCTCTCACACCTTCTCTCCAATCTCTTCTTCTTTCTTATTTTTAAATTTCAAAATTCAAATCCCTCCTCCCAATTTTCAACATGAATCCTTCCGGCTCCGGCTTCGTTCCCGACAATCTCCCCCCGAGTGACGCCGCGATGTGGTTCTACCAAGAGTGAGGTGATCGACCGCCGATATACGAGACGCAACAATCGGGGTACGTCGACCGAGATTCGGTTCCGGAGACTCAACCGGAACCGTCCGGATCGAAAAAAAGTACACGCCGGAGGAGCCACAAAGCCAAAAGCACATTGACCGATGCGGCACGGTCAATCCAAAAGTGGACGCCGGAGGAGGAGTGCATATTGGCGTCGGCTTGGGTTGACGTCTCCGAGCATCCTATCATTGGTAAAAAATTTGTTTTTTCTAATATATTTATATTTTTATTTATATATATTATATTTAATGGTGTCAAAAAAATTGTGTAATACTTTTTTAAAGGTACGGAGCAAACGAAGGATGCGATGTGGGATCGTATCGAGGAGAAGTTCTTCACGGCGATGAAGAAGGACGGCTCCTACCGAACCCGTGACCAACTCACTTCCAAATGGAGCCACATCAACAAAAAAGTACGAAAGTTTATGGGAGTATACGAGGAATGCTCCCGGTCCCGGAGGAGCGGCATGAACGACGCCGATGTTCTCCG